GCATGAACATTTTTTTGTATCGAAAAAATATCGAACCGTGACACCAAAGTATCGAACCGAACCGAACCGTGAATTTTGTGTATCGTTGCACCCCTAGTATTTACCTCACTGACAGCAATACTAGCGCATGATAAAAAACACCACACACTCTCCCCTCTTAACAAAATGCTTGCACACCTGAGCAGTATTTTTCCATGTTTTGCACATTGTATACAGAGCCTTTCTGAGGCTTTGGTAGAAAATGATCCCATGACTTTAAAATTGGGGGTTTGAACTAGTTTATTGTGTTTATTGTGAAGGTAGCAGTGGGTGTAGAAAAGGTTTGAGAGCAAACAGTTGAAAAATATGTAGGAAGAATGAGCTCACACAACCATACACAAATATATGTGTGCGTGTGTGTGTGTGTGTGTGTGTGTGTGTGTGTGTGTGTGTGTGTGTGTGTGTGTGTGTGTGTGTGTGTGCGAGACAGAGAGAGATTTGTGTCAGCGTTGTAATTCGTCTGCACTGAACCATGCCTATTGTTGCCCTTGTAAACTGAGAGCAATGAGTGTTTCATTCAAGATGTGTCTGATAACAGAATCTCTGCCGTATGAATTAAATTAATAAAGCTTCTCTCTCTCTCTCTTTCCATCCTTCTCTTTTTTTCATCCCCATCCTCCTCTCCTCCTCCCCTCTCAGGTTACGGTGGGGTGGAGCTACTGTTGGTGTTGTGGGGCCTGGATCTCTCTTCACCCTGCCCTCGCCACTGTATCTGCTACACTTCACCTAGCACTGTCTCCTGCCAGGCCCACAACTTCCATGCTGTGCCTGAGGGCATCCCCGCTCAGAGCGAGCGCGTTTTCTTGCAAAACAACAAGATCCAACGGCTACTTCGAGGGCATTTCTCGCCCACTACCACTATGCTGTGGCTTTACTCCAACAACATCTCCTATATACAACCATCCACCTTCCATGGCTTTGACCGCCTAGAGGAGCTTGATCTTGGGGACAACCGGCACCTGAAGGCCATTGCCTCAGACACCTTCCTGGGCCTTGGTCGGCTACATGCCCTTCATCTATACCACTGTGGCCTGATCACCCTCCCTCCCGGGATCTTTTCAGGCTTACATAATCTCCAGTATCTCTATCTACAGGTACACGGATAACAGCTGCCTTTTATCTCTATTGTGTACTGCATCTGCCACCACAATCGCATTATGGTGTAATCTGTCAATCAAGTTGGTTCAGCACTTACGCCCCATGAATTGGTCCCTGATCAAATAACTGAGTGTAATGAAAATACCACGAGCTTTCCTGAAACAACAATACTCCTATAGTACAACTTCTGTGGCTAACCCCTGCAAGAGAACTGTGTAATCCGAATCCATGCCTGAATATATGATTTCATTAATTACACAGTATGTTTATGAAGAGAGAAGGATGATCTATTTATATCACGATAGAAAAATTGCTAAGATTGGCAGTGAATGATAGTGGTGCATTTACTGCAAAGTATCTTTGAGCAAGATGTTGAACCCTCAGTGGCCCGCGATGCAGAGTGTGAGTATGTGAACAGTAAAGGTTAAAAGTGGTTTGGATAGAAAAATAAAAGAGGACTTCAGTGTCGTGTGGATGATTGAATGAAGCTTGTAGTAAGAAAGTTCTTTGAGTGCTTGAATTGAGTACAAAAGCGCTATGTAAGTGCCAGCCCATTTATCAAATATCTTTGGGTCTGTTAAGTGCAAATGTCAGATGTCTAGTAGTTTTGACTTGCTTGCTAGATGTTGTCAGTGAGCTATAGCAGTCTAACAGGTTTAGACATGAAAGAAACAGTTTTTTACCTATTTGTGTTCAAATAAAGAGTCTGTTTAGATTTTTACACTGCTCTGGAGAAAACTTATATACTATATTGGGCCAAATAAAAGTGGAATTCATAACATTATATGAAGGGGTTAGAAAATTCTGTTTTCAAATCATATTTTTCGAAAGGACAGTTTATTGGCACTAAAAGTGTTCCTACAACACGCTTTACTTTCACAAAGGGAATAAATTCATGATAAAAGCCTCATCAGATCATGAGCTGCATTCTCAATGTTAACAGAGAGAAAATCATTGTTACTATGGGCAATTTTTTTGAAGCTGAAATTACACAGCTGACTGTGTGTGCGAGTGTTTTTCTCCTTAATGGATATGTTTTATTTGATTTATGTTTTTGTTATATTGAGAGTTAACAGCTCATAGCCTTTTTTCTTACTTTCTTACAGTACTTACTGTTTGTAGCTTTTAAGCGCTGTAACTGTTGCAATTTGAATTATGGCTAATTGGGTATTTATTCAGTTATTATTTTAATAAATGAAAAAGTTTTTTCTTTTCTTTTTTCACTGAACTGAAAATGTACGGAACCATGAGTGAGTTCAAAACTGTCCAAAGGTTCATTATGAGTAAATGATGTTTTCATTGTTTCAAACCTACTTAGTAACTGAGGCAACAGCTACAGACTGACAAGTTTGGAAGCACTTTTACGTCAAATGTTTGTTTGTTTGTTTTTTCAAAGAAACCCCAAAGGGAAAAAAATAGAGGGAAATCAGTTGGTAGAATGAGAGTAGATTACCCCTTATTATTTATTTGATATAGTAATCTCCAAACTTAGTCAAAAACTCAAAATATAGTTTTTAATTCAAAGGGTCCACTTTTGAGCTCCTTAATCCACTTTATTTAGCCGGTTCAGTTAGTTTATGCATGTGTTC